AGGACACAAAGAAAGAAAATATTTCTGCAGAGGTAATACAAAGTGGGAAAACTTAATATAGATGAATATTGGACTATTGCCCACCATAAACAGACTTTCTGTCAACCAGGCTTTGGATTAAAAATTGAGAAACAAACAGTTCAAAATTATGTTTTTCAATGACCTTAGAGTCCCCAAACTTTAAAAGTTAGCCAAGCAGATAGTAAGGTAGCCGTTAGGTGCGTGAAAACTGAGGGGGCTCAACCACAACTTTAGACCTGGCAAATGCCATGTCACCAGGCAGAGACCTGGAAAGGCCACAAGGCATTTTACTGCTGTGTTAGGAGTGCCTATTTATTTTTAATTACCTTTGAAAAACTGCCTTCTGTTTTGCTTTGGGGATAAATTCATAAACGCACAGGAGCCAAAATAAATTCCACCTGCCTGCCCCGGCACAACAAAACCCACAGAGATTTCTACTTGTCCAACATGCCGTTGTCCTCAGGATCTGGCCCTCTCAACCTCCTATTCATGACACCTTTGGCAGCCAGGGTTTTACCTATTCTCTACAACCAGAGAACATCTGACCTAATACCCCACACTTTCTAATAAAGGGAGAAAAATCTCAAACACCTGCCACCCTGGCTCTTGCTTCCACTCTCTCTGCCTTTCTGTTGTCTGCTCTAAGAACAGTGATCCTGGTTGGTAAAGTAAATCTAAAGTAATTCAACCATGAAAAGGGAAGTGCTTGTGCTTCCCACATGTTCTCTTCCCGTATAGTGTGATGGAAATGTGGTGGCTGAAAGTTATCTTGAGAAACCCAAACAAATAATCACTTTTATGGCTACAACTGAAATCCTAACTCTAATCTTGGGGACACACACCACCCACTCCCCTTCTTGAGCTCAGTCAGGTCCCAGTTAGGTAGTTTGTAACTTAATCTTGTCACAGGCAATAGCAGCTACTATGTGAGATATAGCAAGGGGACAGCACTTTTTGAATGAATATTTGATTAAGGAAATGTTCTTATTCCTCACTCATCCATACACATCAGCTTCTAGGACGACAAAACAAGTCATCGGTCACCCTAAATTCGCCATACACAGCAAAGTATAAAATGGACTTTTCCTCAGGAAACCTTTGTGATTATTGTTCCCATTACACCTACTTCCTATGCCTTAACACTAAACACACATGATGGAGGGTCCTTATTAAGCCTTCCCCATCAGCTGTACAAACTACCAAGATAGCAGTTATCACCACATATAAGCACCATGTCCTTGGTACACTGCGGATATGGTCACAGTATGTGCTGAGACAGCGCCCATATCACTAGGGACACCCAGCACACTGTAGTATACGGAACAGAAGAAACACTTAAAACTCGTCAAATGAACTATCCAAACAAATAAAACAGGATATATCTTTCCTTTTACTTTGCTTCTTTCCCAGATTCTCTTCAGTTCAACACCATAATGGCACAAAAGGTAGATGGCTCAGTTCTTTTACTTTAAAGATCACACAATGCAGGAGACATTAGAGAGGAATTAGGAGGTGGGAGGCAGACAACAGGACGAGGCTGTCAGCGACCTGCAGCGGCAGGTAAGAGAAGCCCACCTACATGAACGTAAGCCCAAATGGCAGGTCCGGTAACGGAAGGGACAGTCGCTTGAACTTAAAGACAGAAGCAGAATCAGGCTTCTGGGGATTAGAAGGATGAGGGGGGAAACCTTCAGGCATCAGGCTTTCTTCTCTCTCCCTCCAAGTGATCCTTTCATTCTGGTTTTCACTTCCCTTCAACAGATAAGCTTTCACTGCTTCTTTGTGTGCATAAATGTCTCACAATTCTAAAGTTTACTAGGTCTAGACTTGCTAGGCTGAGAACACAAATTCCCACTCCAAATTCTAAATTCCAGGGATAATCAGAGTGGCTCAAGGGCAATAGCCTGAACCAGGCAAGCCTGTTTTTCCTGGCATCCTCCTCTAGGGAAAACTGGAGCTTCTCAGATAAGCCAGCGCACGAGGATACCTTCAACGCTGCAGTTGTGTTTTTAACCTTGATGTGTATGCTCCCCATCTTTCTCTCATCTACTACCCCCACCCCAAGTTCACACAATCGTACCACACTCTGACTATCTGGGCAACTATTTGCCATCAACCCTGTCACTAGTCATTCTTTTTCATCTAATGCCCCCCGACCCATTAAACTTAAAATTGTCTCAATGCAAAACACTACTATTCTACATAAAACATGACAAATACATTAAAAGGTATTTTAACAGACAAAATAAGACAGTTTTATGTGTACAAGATATTTTCTGTTTATTTCTATATTTGGAATACTGGTTATTCTACTTCGATAAACAGACAGTAGGGTCATATTTAGTTATGGTGTTTACATTATTGCCTCCAGATACACTGTACCTTTTTATTTATTTTGTAACTAATGCCACACAGCCATTACTTAAGGATAATACTCAGCAGCCGCTTAACAAAACACCTTTCAACAAAAAGGACTGCAAAACAATCCCTTGGAAATTTAAAGCTATTTCAGGTTTTTTTAACAGACCAAATATGAACTTATTTCCGTATGCAGTAAGAGTCTGCCTCTCTCATGTTAAATAAAACTTAAATTTCTGTTCAGAATTCAGTCTCTATGTCCTCTGAACACACAACTCCTAGGAATACAAATGCTAAATTCTAACCAATTGTGAAGAACATAACCTCTTGCAATGCTAAATTCTAACCAACTGTGAAGAATATAACCTCTTGCTCTTTTACCTTTGCATGGTAGTGGAACCATCCAATGATGAAAAATCACAGGCACATTGACCATAAGCACATTGTCAAGCTGCAAATCCTGGCATCCTGTGTAATGCTTGTACACAAGTAGGTGTACAGGCAACGTTTAATTAACTAGATGTATTTGCAAATCAACATTACAGATGCAGGAGGCTTTACATGTACTCATAAAAATGTAAACTGATGAGCAGGTTGGCTATAATACCATAAGACAATCTTCTCAAACTTTAAAGTGCATTCAAATTACCTTATTAAAATGCATGTTCTAATTTAATAGATCTGGGATGTAACCCAGTATTTGCATTTCTCCTAAGTTCTCAGATGATTCTGATGCTGCTGGTCAGCATGTTACATTTTAGTAAAACAATGCCATTTTTACTCTCTTTAGTGGAAGGCAATAGGCAAAGTTTGCCTTCTCAAAGAAGTGTTCAGTCAGGAAAACTGATAAGTTCCAAAGGAGACCTATCTTTATGATCAGATTCAAGTTTTTAGTAGTTATTTATTATTGAGCACCTATGCCAGATGCAGGAGCTACAGAAGTCTAGTCATTCTTGTTACAGCTTTTAATAGAATGGTGAAAATGCAACTAGAGGCTTTTCTGTGTGATCAGTGAAACAGAACATTAGAGAAGGACACCAAAATCTGCATGGGAAAGGCAACTGCTTAGGATCCTGTGTCTTTCTGTTTCTGTTATGCTCATCACAGAATTGTCCTTGCTTGTCATCCCCAAGTCCTTATTCAGCAAGGTCTGCCTTCTCTCTGTCCCAAGGTTAGGGGAGAGACAAGTTGTCGGGTCAATTTCCTTGTTGGATTACAAACAATCCCATCCTTTCTAGTTAGATATTGTGTCAAGTTTAATGAAAAAGCAAGGTCATAAATAAGACAGATTAAACTACTTAAAAATTAAAAAGTCAGGGGAAGAAATATCAATCAGAGAATTTCTTCCCCTTTCCATTTACATAAACCCTAATCACTGTAACAGCTCAAAAAGAAAGTTCACCTCCGACCTTTGCTTTATAATGGAAACTGCCAGAGGTACACCAGGTAAGGAGAGACTACAAATGCTCAAGTTACAAGAAGTTTCTTCTTACTAATGTAGCACTGAACATACCTGGCTAGGCTTTCTATTATTATCTATTTAGTACAAAATTCTAGAGACATGTAAAACCTAAAAGATAATTTGAAAATCACAGAAAATTATTATATCTTATAACTGATCATTTTTTCATAAGTAAAAATTGATGTTTAAGTTATTACTTTATTCTCTTGCCAGAGACATAAACTTAACCACATCTATAATTTAGCATGAATTTATTTTGGTTGTATATTGGAGCATGTACTTCTCAAACCAGGGTTATCTGTATCAAGAGATGATTGAAGCCAGAGGATACATGAATCCAAATAACAAAACTGAGAAAATTTTCTAGAGTGTTTTTTTTTAATTAGGATTTGTAGGAAGTAAAAAGAGGAAAGGAAATGTTTAATGATATGACTGATGAATCAAAGTACTTATTTTGCTGTATGATAAACACAGAATAGGGTATTTAAACTTCATTAATTTTAAAGATTAAAAAACTGGACTTAAAAAAAAAAACTTCCTGTTTGGGGGAGTCAGCTATTCTCCTCTTAGGAGAACTTCTGCTAGTACAAGAATCTAACAATCAGTCATATCTTTATTTTAAATGTATACTTGGAAGATCTGCTACTTATCAGTGCAAGTACATATTTCTCACATAAAATGTTAGGGAAATGAGAGTGACTTCTAATTAGAACATTTCAATTCTAAGCAAATCCTTTTGAGAACCGAATGTTCACTGTTGAATGTCTTGGATTTGAATAAATAATATAACAATAATACAAGAAAAACTTTTACTTCACAAATGTAATCACTGGACAAAATTTTGAATTGTCTAAGGAAGTACTTTACCAAGAAAGTTAAATAAAAAGTTGGAAAAGAGAGAGACTGCTGTAATCAGAGTCTATTGCAGTAGTCTTTCTTCCTTTCATCTTATTCAGAAACTATGAATATATAGTCAATTTCAGAATAATTTTCTTAATTTACATACTGAGAGCTTTAGAAAATATAAAATGACTTAATATGGTACCTTCCATTATAATGATAATCCAAATCCTCAGGCATCCCTACTCAAGAAGAAACTACAGAGAAGGCAATCTGGGGTTCATGCCCAATTTCTTAAGAAAGAAATCCAGATACTTACAAGGCATTGCATGGTATATGCTTGGCCAATATTGTCCACTGTCTCTCTTTAACCATACACGAACTGTCCTGTAGTGAAAGAAAATCTGTGTGTTAAATCACAGTATTTGTTTAATTATGGAAAAATGTTGATAGAAACCAAACTTCTTAATTATATACATAGTTACATTTAACATATCTCTATAAATCTATACATACATATATTGGATGGATACTACAAATTTTATATTTCTTAAAAACTGTGTATTTCGGGCCCTTCTTGGTGGTGCACAGCACAAAGAAGCTTAAGCCACTTTCTCATGAGTTCAATCCCCGACTGCCCCAGAGGAGATCCACATGGCGTGGCAGACCCCTCCTGACCCGCCCACTGCTCCCCTCAGCAGTGTACTTTGTGATCTGCCTGTTCTGCCCTCCTCTCTGTCTCTGGTGAGTCCTCTCACCCTCCACATCTCTGGCCTGTGCCCCAGTTCTGTATGAATAAATAAAATAAATTTTTTAAAAAATTGTATATTTCTTAAAGGCTCATGTGCATTTAAATATGACTCTTTAAATACTACCCTCATGTATATCAATAACGACATGTGTAATAGTAATTGTTTTTGAAATGATTATTTTGTAGTTGTTTGTCTCTCCAAATATACAACCTTCACCTTAGGTTGCTGGGAAGCATTCATCTACTGGGAAACTACTAAGTTTTACTAGTGAAAAAGTATGAAGAAATAAAATAAATATGCAGCATCTCTCACACACACACACACACACGGATTGCATAGTGAGTCCACAGTCTTATTTCTATCATAGACAGGCAATAATAAGCTTGGAGACTCAGATTTCCTCAACTATAGGCCCGTCTATGTGGCCCACCACTGAACAAGGTATTCACGCAGCAAAGGCTATTAATAAAGTTCCAGAGCTACAGGCCAGTAGAGATATAGCAGACTATCTGGGGAGCTCAGGGAGGAGAAACCAAAAACCATAATAAACCAATTAGGGAGCACCAAAAAGTTCTAATCAATAGATTATGACTTTCCTGACATCATCTGCTCAAGTCAGCAAGGCAAATGTAACCAAGAAATAGATGGTCATTGCCTCAGTGACCAGAGGAAGAAACAGACATCAAACCGCGGTGAAAAAGCAGCTTCTGTGACCAGAAAATCATATAGGCCATACTTGTCAGTGCAAACCCTTAAATATCCAAGAGAAACAGCAGACAATCACTGAATATTTTTACATTAGTTCCTACCTAAAGGAACTATGTAAGTCTTCATCCCAGACTAAGCTTTTAATTGCATTGGACTTTTCTCCAGTTGTGAGTGATTCCGCAATGTGAAGTAGCAGGAAAAAGACTAGACTAACTACAGATACAACGGAGTAATGCCATTTCACTGCATAGCCACAAGAGACAACGTAGTGATAAATGACACCGCTACACACACACACACACACACACATACACACACACACACTTCCATTTTTCAAGTCAATTTGCTCAAGTTGGGAGATGGAAAGTACGACAATAAATAATATATAAGAAGTAATGTCATATATTTACTATTCATATATATGCCAATCTTCACGTTAAAAAGTTCTTTTGTAAGATATGCCAGAACAATATTTTAATATGGAAATAATGAATTAAGATAGAAGTGATGTCATGGAAAAAGGGAGAGGAGGAAGCTACAGAAATTAGTCCCTCTACAAGATCAACTATTGTGTTGGCAAGAACTCTCAGAATCACTATTTTGGAATACTACGTCTAGTTAGAAACTTGCAGTATCTAAAGCAGTTCTTGGTGAAGAAAGGGTCTCGTTCATGTCAGTGAACTTCACACTTTGCTAGCAGTCACCATCACATGTGCCACAGTTCCACAGTAGGCAGCTATGAGCACAGTCATACATGTTCCTAAAGTGACTTGTGGTACCAATGTGGGATTCTTACCCTCCCAAAGTTGGGGAGGTATGTTTTGATTTGCCAGATAATCCACTGAGAAACTACAAAAGAAGTTGGCCACCTTTCAACATCCCCTAGGGTTAAAATCTTCCAAGTAACAAAGGTCAAAAGAACTTGAAGAGACGGACAGAGAACGTTCTGCCTCCTATTAAATACAGACATTAAAAGAAATCACTGGCTCAAAAGTCACTAATAACCAGAGAAATGCAAATAAAAAAGCGTCCACCTATTACAATGGCTATTGCCAAAAAAAAAAAAAACAACAACAACAAAAACCCACAAGTATGGAAACTAGACTTTGGTAGTAATCATACTGTAGTATATGCAGATGTTGAATATAAAGCTGTACACAATTTGAAATAGATTGAATCATGAGAAAAAACACTAAATGTTGGTGAGGATAAAAGACAGTCTTTATACAATGTGGGAGACTACAGAAAACAGTATGGTCAATTCCCTGAAAAATTAAAAATAAGATCTAACAATTCCACATCTGGGTATTTATCCAAAGCAGAGGATAAATCTGAACCCCCATGTTCATTGCAGCATGATTTACAACAGCCAATGTAGAGGGGGGAAAAACCTCAGTGTCCATTCAGATAAATAAAATGTGCTATATAAACACAATGGACTATCATTTACCTATTAAAAAATGAAATCTTGTCATTTGGAATAGCATGCATGAACCTCCAGGGCATTGTGCTAAGTGAAATAAATCAGATGGAGAAAGGCAAGTATCTTATGATCTCACCTATGTGTGGAATCCTAGGGGAAAAAAATACATACAACAGAAACAAGGTTTACATTAAAACATAAGAATTCAAATCAACAATCTAACTTTATAGAACCATAAAGAGAAGAGTAAACCATGCCTAAAGTGAGCAGAAGGAAAGAAAGAATAAAGCTGAGAGTTGAAAGAAACAAATATACACTAGGAAAACCAATAGAAATAATCAGAGAACACAAAGTTGTTTCCTTTTTTTTTTTTAAAGATTTATTTATTGATTCGTACAGAACTGGGGTTTACAGGCCAGAGATGCGGAGGGTGAGAGGATTCACCAGAGACAGAGTGAGGAGCAGAACAGGCACATCGATGAAGTACACTGCTGAGGGGAGCAGCGGGCAGGTCAGGAGAGGTCTGCTGCGCCTTGTGGATCTCCTCCGGGGCAGGCGGGGATCGAACTCATGCAGAAGTGGCTTTAGCTTCTGTGTGCTGAGCTTTAACCTGCTGCGCCACCAGGGAGGGCCACAAAGTTGGTTCTTTGAAGAGACCAACAAAATTAATAAACCTTCAGCTAAAGCAATGATGAAAAATAAATAGCTGCAGAAAGTTAAAATACAAAATAAAAATGGGTATATTATTACCTATTTTACAGAGATTTAAAGTATAGGGCCCTCTCTGGTGGTGCAATGGGATTCCACACATAAGCACTGTGAAGCTGTCAGCAGCCAATGCAGCACAAGGCATGGCAGATCTCTCCTGTCTCACCCACCGCTGCGTGGCTCCCCTCAGCCACGGTGTTTCAATCAATCTGCCTGTTCCGCTTCCTTCCCTGTCTCTGGTGATTCCTCTCACTACCCCTATACCTCTGGCCTCTACGCCAGTTCTGTGTGCATAAATAAATAAATAAATCTTTTTTAAAAAGTATAGAAGGCTACTATGAAGTGCTGTAAACCAGCAAATTTGATAGTCTATATTAAATGCACACATTCCCAAACACAAATAATGTGATGAAATTCACTCAAAAATAAAGAAACTCCACAAGACCTGAGCAGATCAAGTAACTGAATGTGTAATAAAAAAAATCCTCAAAAATAAAAGTGCAGGACCAAATGTCTTTACTGAATTCAACAGAACATTTAAAGGAGAATTAACAAAAATCATATTCAAACTTTTAAAAACTAGGAAAAAAGGAAATACTTCCTAACTTAATTCTTTTAATTAAGGTGGTAGTATTTGATACCAAAGTCAAAGACCCACAGTCCTTAAGACTGATTGATTAAAAGAAAAAGTCCTCAACAAAACTCTAGCCAAATCCAACAGTATTTAAAAGTAGTATGCTTTCAGTCCTGCAGACTTTGTCACGGGAATCCAAGGAAGGCTCAACCTAAGAAACTGAAATTAACAGAAAAACATACATTGACATTATCATCTTGCAAACATGCAAAACATTTGACAAAAATCCAAATAAATAACAATCAGAAACTAAGACTAGAAGAAATCTTCTCAAGCTGATAAATGGGTATTATTCAAAAACACAGAGCTAACATATGGTTAAAGTTTGAAAGTTTTTCGCCTAAAATCAAGTAACCAAATTCTCACTATCACAATTCTATTCAACATTACAAATAGAAGACTTAAAGGCATCCAAATTAGAAAAGAAACAAAAATATTACTAAAGCTAATAAAATAAGCAGTAAAACTGTTAGAGACAACACACAAAAATCAGTTGTGTTTCTATACACCAGCAATGAACAATATGAAAAGGAAAATTAAGAAAACAATTCCATTTGTAAATATCATCCAAATGTATAAAATTCCTAGGAATAAAATTAAATAAGGATGTGAAAGACTAACTATGGTAACACTGCTGAAAGAAATCAAAGATATGAGTAAGTGGAAAGACAATTCCACATTCATACATTGGAAACCTTAATATTAACATCACAAAACACGAGCAAAACAATCTAAGGATTCAACATAATCCCTATCCAATTTCATGGCCTTCTCTCTGCAGAAATGGAAATGTCAGACTTCAAAACCACATGGATTTGAATATGAGGCCCAAATAACCACAACATAGTGTAAAAGAAAAACAAAGCTGTACAATTCCCACTTCCTTATTTCAAAATTACTACAAGATACTGTAATCAAAACAATTTAGTATATGCACAAGGACAGACATGTGGACTGACAGAGCAGTACTGAAAGGCAAGGGAAGGCTTAAACATCCATGGCCAAAAATTTTTGGCAAGGATGCCAGGACAATTCAACAGAAAAAGAACTGTTTCTTCAAAGAGTGGTACTGAGTAAACTAGATAACCATATGTGAGGTAATTAATTTGGGCCAAAATCTGATTCAATGTATAAAAATTAACACAGAATGGATCAAAATCTA